GTTTACGTTTAGTAAAACCAGATTCATGTTCTTTTATGTCACTCCGACAATTCTATAGACAGACATTTTAAACTTTATAAGCAAATTGGTAAACAAAGGATAGGATCGTGTAAATGATTATTTTTTACTTTTTTAGATAACTCCACTGTTTGTATAGATTTTCGTCTTAATGTTTCAACGTATCAGGATATGTATTACCTCAGGATGTTTAGAGTCAATGCAATCCTTTACAATACAAAAGCCTTTTAATAAATCGTATAACATTTTGGCATTTACCTAAAATTTATAATTCTAAATCTATATGGTATCAATAGTTGTGGATTCTTTCAGCTTTAAGCAAAGGAGGCAGATGGCCATATTTCTGGGTTGGAATATTACTGCATGGAATCGTGGCCGATAACTTTTGGACGATTGTGGTGCCGGAGTTTGATAACTTTTGGCATTCGCAGACACCCATAATTTTCCTTGGCGGACGTCTACCTTTACACATTATTTTACTTTGTAAGATATATAAATATATACTTGTACATAATATTCAAGAAATGAATTTTTAGAATACCAAATCAGAGACAACATAAATGATTATCCCTATTTAACTATATTATGGCATTGTTGTTTTATAATCTAAACTCTATCTTGCCTTACGCAATTAAAAAGGCCTGTGCTGCCTGATGGGAAATCTACCACACTTTTTTAATCATTATTCTATGTAGTTATTTATATTATGTTTGTCTTCCCAGTTACAGTAAACATAGAACAAATAATTTCAGACCCTGTCTTCATATACAACGCAGCATATGCGGTATCTAAGCTAAATTTACCAAAATATGCTGAGCCATTCGCAGTAGGACTGGTTACTGTACTAATAGATATACCATATGACATCGTGGCTGTTAAATTTGTACATTGGGTGTGGCACGACACGGACCCGAACATATTCGATCGCCATTACTGGGTACCATGGAACTCATATTATTTCCACGCTACTTTTTCTGCTAGTTTCTTCTACTTGTTCCATGCCACTAGGCGGTATTTGGCGCCCAAGGTACCTCAGTGGACGGCAGCTGGGTGCGTATTAACTATAATTAATATATGATATTACATGTATTATTTATTGGCTCATCTTGAATGAATTTTCGCCACTACACTAATTCAAAATATTTAATTAAAATTAAATAAGTCTAATTAGAATGTTCAACTAAAGTGCTCTTTCATCATTTTCTATCCAATTTTGTTTACGCCGCGATGAAAAGAGACACATAATTACTTAAGTTAATTTGGTGCTTTATTTTTATGAAAAGAGGTTTTACCTTAAGTAAACCATAGAATTTTTTGAATTACATATTAAATTAATATGGAGACTTTATTTAAAAAGTCAAACACATTGAATGGATTTATCCTACTTTTAGGTGGCGATCGGAGTTCCTCTCACTGGTAATATCTTCGGCGATGGGTATGTTCGGTGGAGTGCTTCTGTTCGTGCCCATCTACCATCCCCTTCACGATATGTACAACATTCACTCCGAGGTCACTTTCTTTCTTCTTTTCGCTTTATATTCTGCGTTTATCTTGCAAGGACTGCTAAGTGACCGACCGAAAAATAAAGACAGGTGAGTGGGAGGTTATACCCATACAATAGAATTGATATTGATATGGATGACAATAGGCTGAAAGACTAAAGTTTCATGTAACGTTATCTGGCTAAACTAACCTAATTTATTATATTCTTTGTCTATTGGCTTGTTTCTTTAGGTTTATTTATACATTCCTCTCAGTGTTCTTTTTATTCAAGTGCTTTCTTAGTATATACATATACGCCATATTTTAACTTGCAACTCAAATATCGATATTCGTCTATTACCACAATGTTCTTTATAACCTTTTACTCAGTTGATAATTATTATGAAATGGTGCGATAACGCGCCAGGTCGTAACCCCAGCTGTTTAAATAGACTATCAAAGTTAACATTTAAAACAATCGAATTATTACGATAGTGGTTTAATTTTAACTCATTGTTCTTCAATGTGAAAACTTATCCATTAAGATTTGATAATAATAATTTCTAATTTTAGAGCTTTCTTCCGTTTTTTTACCTCAATATCTCAATTATGGGTATGAATCGAAAAAATATTTTTATGCTTGACAGTTACTTTAGTTTAAGATTTATTATAACATAATGAGACGGCAGAAATAAATGAATAGACTTTAGCGGGATTAAATTGCTTATTAACTCTTACAATTGTTTTGTATTAAATATTTTAAAACAGCCCTGCGATGCTGTAACTCACTTTTCGAACTCACTCAGCGGTTTTCGCATTGGCGGTCGCGAATTTTTTTAGCCCGCCTCCATTATTTTTTAAGGCAATATTTCTCTATATACACACAAAATACTTGCGAAGGTTTAAGTAAGATATGTCACAAATTTGATTATATAGTATTTTTAAATTTTTTATTTGGATGTAGAGATATATTTTGTTTTCAACAAGTTCCCAGCAACCAGAATGTTCACTGACAACCACGGGAGTGATATTTACAGTTTAGTCTGAAAATATTACTTTCATTATATTGATATATTATGTACTTTATTTTAGACTTACAGCATTCGACTACCTACTTCTCCTGCAGCTCATTGTACACTATCTGGCTTATTGGTGCTTCGTGATGTTCATGGACCCTGAGAAGGAAGTGTCTGTGGGCTTCCATCAGCCTGTGGGGCCTTGTGGCGAAAAGGAGAGTTTAGTTACACCTTTCGGACAAGTTAGTTATTTTTTTTGCTATTCTCAACCCGGCACTGTCGGCCCTTCGACTCCGGATTTTACTTCGCCCTCCCTACAAATTTATAGTAACGTTGAAGAAACTCGTGATTTTTAATGAAAAGATTATTTTTATTAATTTAGATTTTTCAACTAAATTCTAATAGATTGTAAAGCTGTAAGTTTTTCAAAATTTCGTCATATACGTGTAGTAAATACAACTACAGTGAATTTATTTATATAAGTACTGTAATGCTCCAATGGGGTATGGGGCAGAGACATTGATGCGTGGTAATGCTCCAATGGGGTATGGGGCAGAGACATTGTTGCGTTACATTGATTTCTTACGCATATGCAAGTATCAGATATTATATCATACGAGAGAGTGTTAATTGTGTACATGGAAAGGGAAACTTATTGGTGCAGAGCTAGGATTTGGACCCACCTTTGTTAAGTTGTAAATAAAAAATATATTATTAACATTGGCCTTGATTTGGGAATTGGCAGTAAATCTAAATTTTGTATATAAGTAAAATACAATTTACTCTGATATAAATAAATGGTATTTTGATTTGTTTGTTATCGTTATAGACATTACATAAAAATAAATACCTCTGTGCAAGCAACTACGATGAGAAATACTATGACTTCCGCTGCGTCGGAGGCAAGATTCCTCCAAATGGTTCGAAATGGTACACCATATGTGGAACGCCTTTCGAGTAAGTACTTTTTAATGTGATGTTGAGCCATTATCGCACAAAGCACAATTGTATTTGTGCTTCAATAACGGGTAATAAAGCCTAGTAGTCGGTTCTATACTTTCCTTGATTGCAGAAACCGCACGGAGTACATCACGGTAGTCAGCGCAATACTCATTCTGGCCTTTGGAGTTTTCCGTGCTTTCTACTTCAAGAACGTGGAAATTATACCACCTCTAATAGTAAAGAAGAAAAATAAATAATTATGAATCCTTTAGATATATATTATCATTATATGATTATTGCAATACGTTAAAAATTGAATTATATATAGAAATATTTAAACGATATTTTGAAAATAATATTGACAATTAATTAGCGTTTTCTCTAAAAAAGATTAAAATATAATGGACTTAATGATTTTGTATGTTTTTAATTAAATTATTTCTAATTGTTACATTGTCTTTTATTATATTGTTATTTAACTCATCAATTTATGTATCGCATTAAAATGACATCGAACAAAGTCAAATTAGTGTGATTGAACATACCATTACTACCTACCTACCTACCTACTTGAAATTTGTTTATTCTAATACAAATAATTTTCAAAGTTTAGATTACTTGGACCATATTAGAGATTTTCTTTAATTTTGTGTTTATATTACAATTAGATGGAACAAACAATTCGATCACTTTACATTACGAGTATTACCAAAATAATTTATTAATGGTTAGATTCCCTGGTCAGCTAAGAAAACCAACGTGACGGTTACAACTAAAAAACACTTATTTATTCTATTGTACTCGCCGGACAGATCATGTAAAGGCCCTTACAGATCTTACCACCGCAGGGGCTAGCCGAAGACAGGTGGAAGTGAAGTGAGTTGGTCGCCACTCACAAGACCTTCAGAAATGAAGCGCACTCTTGTTTGATATTAAGAAGAAATTATATAAAGAAGAAATAATTGCTTAATTACAACATATTTATACAGCATGAAATATACTTTATTAGCTTTCATTCAACTTAGCTTTCATTACATTAAGAGCTTAAGGCCATAATCATCAAAAGCAGAATTTTGAACCTTTAAATGTGATTTACTTTTTTAGCTATGATTGTGTACCTACATCCCGCTTATCTTATAAGTTTGACGAAGCCTTGTTATTCTCAAAACGAAAACCTTTATAAACTGTAATTGCAACGGATTTCAATTATTAAATGAATGTTACGATGCGTAGTGTCATCTCTGAAATGTAATTTCATTACGTTTACATTTCTTAACAGAATAAACCTTATTGCTCTACAAATACGATACAAATTCGATTAACGTCGTTGATCAAATGCATGGTCTCGAAATCTTTAAAATACGAAAGGTTGTATGTGCCCCGTGGCAGCTTAAAGACTAGCCACGTGAAGTTTGTTGTCGGCGGTTATGCTGTTTCGGTATGGAATTGTTTGTTATCATGTGGGCGTTATCGATTGATGCGCGAGTGCGCGCCTAAGCGCGGGAACGATGAACAAGTATCTTTGGCACAAGAGTTCGCACCATGATCGCGAAAGGGCTCGCCTTGGCTCTCCTCTTAGCGTCTACGTTCGCCCGTCAGCCGGGTAAGTAAAATTTCTATAGCAATCGCGACTTTTAAATTTTTTCCTAAAAGCGAATTTTTTCCTGACACCTGTTACTTGCTATGTGTTTAATATTTTTATAGTTGAGAATACATCTTCTTGTTTTTTTATGCTAAGAGCATGCGAGCGTGACGATGGTTGTTATTCATCACACAAAACAAACACGCCTTCGGGGCGTTGGTAACTGATTTAATAGAAATACTTTTGAGGGTGTTTGAAATACTTTTGTATCTTTTTATGAAATATTTTTTATCAATTATTTAAATATGTATTTAAAGGTAAGTAATAAATTCTCAGTTTAAAAATGAAAATTATCATTTTAGTTTTTATTAAATAAGTAATTTTATTGCCTGTGCCTACTGTTAAAACGTTAATAGTATTTTTATAAAACGGCTTAGATCTACTAGAACCGCTTTATATTTTATTTAGATTTAGATTTTCTTGAATTTATACCAAAGTCTTGTATAAGAACATTATCCGTAGAGTTACATTTAATTTGAAGAATTAAAACTGAACATCAATTATAAAATGTATGTACAATAGATACATGATTATAAAAAGTTTTAATTACTTTTATATCATCATTAAAATAAAACTAAACAATGTGTTCAATGGCAGAAATTGCATTTTGGGAGATAAATATTTTCCTTTAAAGTCGATTTTCCAAAACCTTTTATTGATAATAAATACTTTCTTTCAATGGACTACAAATTGAAATAAAAAAAGGGTGCGTGTACTTATGTACGCGGGTAAGATGTTATATTTCTTTGGCTTTCTTTATTTTTTTTAAATATTAAATAATTAATAATAAATATTTAAAGTTAATAACTTAATAATATTTAATATTTAGTATGTTATTCAATTATTAATTAATATTAATAATAATAATTATTATTATTTATTATTTTATTATATTATTCATTCAATTTAATAACTAGGTATGTTTCATAACCTTTTAACTAAGTAACAATAGGTCTTTGTGAAAAAGTATTGCTAAATTTCTTAGAAAAAATAATTAAAACTCGTTTATTTGTTTAAAAGGTACATTAAAAGGTCATTCAATTCGTGAAGTTAGTAGCAATTCTTGGCATAGCTACTAACTTCACGCATATTCTATTTCTTTTTACTTGTAGATTGTCTTATTTCCATCTCGCACGCGCACGCTCGGAGCCCGGATGGTTTAAAACTTCATACTGATAATTTTGTGTCACGGTGCGCGAATCGTAAAACCAATTTTTCATAACGCGCCTAAAGAAGTATATCTTCAATAATCTTTATATTTAATTTCTAATAAATGCTATTATATTTGATTGCAAACCAATAAGTATGGAGAATTTTCGTGTTTTAATTTACAGTAAGATTAAGATTCAAAAGAAGAAATACACACGAAGTAACCAGGGCCCAGCCAATCTTAAGTCTACAATAATGAGTTTATCTAAATATATATATATAAATAAAAATGAGTTGCAAAATATTTGCTCAGCGCAAATTTCGAATACGGCTACCTTAAACTCAACTAGAAACGCAAATTATGTGTGTTAAGAGTTTTCAGGTTTCATCGTCGTCATCAAAAATTTGTTTATGTACACTATTAGACTAAGTATTGCACGTAACTTTCCCCATCCAACTCGACCGGGATTGCGTCTTTTATATCAATTCAAATTACATATTTTGAGAGGTCGTCCATCACATAGATGAGAGGCCAGGCCAGTATTTTACTCTACCATGTTCTTCCTTCATTGAGTGTTCATGTGTATAGTCTTATCCATGCGATATATGGGACTTTACTTATCAAAAAAGAACGGTTTTTCGAATTCGCTTGAGTTGTAACAACTTTTAAAATTTATATATAGCACGAGTGTATTAAGGGTTTCGCACCTCAAAGTTTTACAAATACTTCAGGGCCTTTGCGAGTATATATACATGGCAACATCTAAAAATATTCCAAGAATGTAGATTGCATGTATAATAAATAGCAAACTTCTTTGCATAAAAGGTAACTTTAAGTGGAAGACGAAGATATATAATTTAGTAGTTCTTGCTGAGGTTGAAATTGGGACTAATATAACGGTAATAATAACTTGTCGACTAACCGAAACCTATTAAACATATTAACGATAATTTTAGAGTATAGAAAAAGTTTCGCATGTGAAAATGTCATATGTGAAAGAAAGCTTCTAATTTGCAATATGTATCAAGGCGATATCATTTATTGAAAGTTTCTTTTAACCTCGGCCTAATAATTTAATAGTTAGTTTAAAAGCGTTACTTGGAATTCAACAATTGAACCAATTCATAAACGTGGTTGATCAAATCAAATTGAAATACTATTTATTAAGTAATACAGTTGTCAATTTATTAAGAAAAAGCCACGTTATAGAAACAGATAATTAAATCAAAATATTGAACTTACAAAGCTGTCCTGGAGTCTATTGCCAAGAGTCTACATAATCTGCATATTGTCCATAATGTTATTTACCGTTCAACTTCTCCGATGCGGCACACCGTTCGAACAAGAGCTAGGAATTTAGTTATAAGATTTCTTATCGTTTGTAAATAAAGTCTTATCACCTAAGCCTTTTCAGCTCTTTTACTTAGGTTGTTTTCTTTTATTTAGAGCGTTTTTCTTTTGTTTACTTATTACATATTTATTCATCTGCTATAGTAATAGTTTTGTGTAAGTAAAAGACCAGCATTCCATGCACTGTTGCAAAAGCAAAACAGTAAAACTCAAGAAGTATGTAAGTTTTCTAAAATCCCTTCGTACTTCCTTTGTCGAGAATTCGGATTTTATGTTGATGCTCAAAGTATATATATTCATAAGTCAAAAAAGAAATATACATTAAATGCTTCTAATTTTACATTTACTACCAGATCTCAAATTGGCAGTATGAAACCTCAAGGACACCTTCAAAATAAGAATTATTTGAACTATACCAATCAAGCGTTTATCTAAATCGTGTAAATTATTTTTCATTTATAAAAAAGAAATATAATTAAATCATACCACAATAATTACGAAAACGTGTTGATGTTAAAAACCACAACAGAAATAAAAATCGTTTGATAATTAATTATCTGAACCGCACCAAATGAATTCTATGCGAGGTCAAGCGGCCGCAGACTTATTACTTTTCACATACGAGGTTTTTACATACAAAGGGATAGGACGAGATCATCATTCACTGATCACCATTCACTGACTAAATCAGTCAGTAAGCCACCATAGTAAATTTATAATCATGAAATTTTTATCGACTTATGTGTACATTATGTTACTATAATTACTGAATTAATTTTATTTTAATTTAAACACTTTCTGTTTAGATAGAAGTTAATGATAGAAGAACCTGCTATCGAGGGGCTAATGCGTATTAAAACGATCTGCTACATTGAAAATAATACCTTTTATTTTAATAGAATTTATCGAATATTTCAACTTTAAATATTTGAAATGTACACAGGTTTGCCTTACGCGCCAGAGTTAGCATTAGAACCTCCCGATAAGGAGCAAGTTGACCAGGAGCTGTATCGTGCAATCTTGTCTCCCTACGAGCCACATTATCTTCAATACGATGAAAGTCCTAAAGTGTACGTTGCTCGTGGAGATATCTTCAAACTTCAACCGGCACGCGATGATCTCTTGTCGAAGGTACGTATTATATTATGTTTTGCATAAAGGTAACCTAATTTTGATTTTGAAAACTTACTAAAAACTAGGCCGATTTAAATGTCTGTAGTAACACCAATTAGAAATAAATTTTGTATGAGGGAAGCTGTTAGACACTTCCGGTGTGATGTGCTAACAGTCCGTTACTGTATTAAGTTAAAAATTCTTGACAATTTTTATGTACATTAATTCTACCTCTTACTTGCAAGTATTTAATCGGAATTATGCCAAAAGTAACTTATAATAATGAAGTCTGTTCTAGTCTAATATTTTGGAAAGTCATAAACGTGCATAAATCCCATATTTTTCATTGACAATTATACCGTAAATGTTTAATAAATTTTCATTTATTGTACAACATGTATTCATATTATCGATAGCGTTGATGCGCCAGTCTCATTTCTTTCTCAGACAGTGAAGTAAAAACTTATTCTAGTCACGATCCAAGACATGTTACTTTATCCGGATCGAACTAGTGTCACTGTGTTAAGCTCTTTTCGGTTCTAACTAATTATGCAGCATCCTCATTCAACTCACATTATAAATTCTGTCTTATATTAATTAATTTTTTAATATTTCCAAATATTACATAAAATGCTTTTAAATCTAAATAAAGAAAACTTTCGATTACGCTCAAATTACAATTTGAATAGTAGATTAAAGATCTATTAAACTGACCAGAATATGGCAAAACAGAAACTTATCGAATACTACCAGGAGTAAGCTCATCAGAACATTCGTATTTTTTTGGTACGGATCAGAGTTCTGTTCTGGCCGAAAAAAGATAAAGGCATTCGTGATGTGGTATTGAAGGAGAATGTTGCGAATACCATGGACTGCAAAAAGAACCAATAAGTACATTCTCAACCAACTAAAAATCATGACAAGACTGTCAACCATCATTTACAAACGGGTATTTAGCTACTTTTGGTAAGTTGGTAATGTTAGGGAGGAGTGATGGCTGGAGAAGTCGGGGTCGATCGCGTACCCGTTCGTGTGAACAAATTAAGACAATTATTAACATCCCTAATGCACTGACACAATGTTGAGGATAGAGTAAGTCAACGTATCGGTTAGGCCTTTTCAAGACAGGCATATCTTCAACAATGAAGACTACGAACAAAAAGAGAAAGATCTATTATCTCGTTAATTATAACATGTAATACCCAGTATGCGAGAATCTCGTTTTCGCCTTTATTATTAAAGTACGAGAACGGTTACTGACAATTTAACGAACCGTGGACTAATTCAGATTGTATATTCAAAGACGGTGACAGTTTTACAGACAGAAGACACCGCATCTTAGTATCTACCCTTAAAGACGAGGTACTTAATTTTGCTTGTATGCAGTTCGCTTTCATGTGGTTTCGCATTCAAGCACTCTCCATATATTGAGAGCACGGTAATCCGGATTACTTCGATTGAAAGCTCCTCTGGGTATTGATGTTACAGTAAAAGGAGTTATTTCTCGCTCCTTATCCGATACCTCTAGGGAACATTCAGTAGATCACTTTCTTGAATCAGTACAAGAAAATTTTCTTGTACTGATTTCCTCAGTCATTCATCATCTATTAGGACATTAATAACGGTACTTAAATGACAGCAAACAAAAAACATAAATAACAGGCTTAGGTCCGAACTCGGCTACCAATGGATTTTCATTTCTAAGTGAGCATTTAACACTCGCATGTACAGTGGAGGAAAACATCACTTGCCTATTCAAACAAATTATTACGAAACAAATCTAGGATAAAGACGTGTTGTAGCACCACTGGATTATAATAGGAATAGTATTTTGTAATATAATCTATAATCATATCGTATGTTACAGCTACAAAAATATAAGATGATAAGAAGTATATAGCTAATATCCAATTGCTAAATCCAACATAGAAAAATTTCATTAGTTGATATTTTCTGAGAATTTGCAATTTCATCCAGTTTGCTTTTCATATACGTATATTCGTAATTCAGGGAATCCGTATTGTGCAAAATCACAGAATGTTACAGAATTTTGCTTCTAAGTTATATATCAATGCAAGAAGCTTTTTAAAGCTTCGAGTTTTACTATTTGTTTGCTAGCTCTTGTATTAAGAATTCCATTTGCAAGTCACCTCTTTTTATTCCCACTTTATTTGTGTTTGTGTGACACATAAAATATGTTTCAGCTGTGCTTTAAGACATTAGGTACTTACCATATTCATCATTTGCCATGGCTTATTTGTTGACGCAAGTAGTTTTTCGTAGCAAATAATACTTTTCTATATTATTTTTTTTTCCTTTGAAGAATCTTATTCTACGGATAAATAAAACAAACATACTGAATGTCTCTGCGCCCATTCCGTCATCCAGCACGACGAAGCATTTAAAGCGTTAACGTATAATATTGTTAGACGCAAGACCAAAAACTAAATCGAAAGAGAAATAGGAAATCGTATTACATTAACCCCAATATGCCATAAGTCACTAATAGGTGATCATCTTTGTAGAGGTCGCTAGAGGTAGTGATGCGAAGCGTACCCCTCCGAATTATGACATACACGCGTATGCAGCTTTTTTACAAGAGAAGTAGGTCACATCTCACCTTACTATTTATGGAACGATCCATTTTAATAATTACATATTAATGAATATAATAAAAAATAAAGTCATCGATGCGCTATTTGATAAATGAATCAAATTTATAAAGTATTTTCTGCCAAAACATAATAATTCTGTTGTCATGATTTTTTTATATTGTTTAAACGCTATGTTTAAACAATATTACTTTCTCATTTATATATATAGAAAGCTCCTATTTCTGGAAATGCGTAGGTGGGTAATGCGGCTTATTAGCTTTCCTATAAGCAAAGCAAATTATATTAGCAAATTAAAGAAAAACTAACAAGAAATGAAAATATAATGGCACTGTAAATTAGCTTATCTATTACTAGCTTCGAGTATAAAAGGTATAATTTAAGAATTGGTTGGAGTAAATTGAAAAATAATAAACGTGTTTTATAAGTTCAAGCAGTGTTGGCCTAGTGGCTTTAGCGTGCACCTCTCAAGCCTGAGAACGTGACTTTGAATCACGGCTGTGAAGGGAAACATCATGAGGAAATCCGCATGCCTGAGACCCAAAAATCGAAGCAAAAAAAAAACATTGGTGTATAAAGGGTTCGAAGACACGATCCTAGGATTGAGAGTTACACGCTTTTTTAAAAACCTATTAAAAACAGCGGTTGTAATATTTATAAAGCCTTGTCTAGCAGAACGAGGCACTTTAAGCAAAGTAGGCAAACGTCGGCCTACGTCATCGCATTCCCCGCTCTATCGATCTCCAGTATTCAACAAGTACTCGTTATTCTTGAATGTTACTGCTAGCCAAACAATAAAACTCGCTTTTAGCACGTTAAATACTCAAAATAATGTTACTTCTTTGGGTGCATCATAATCTGACATTTTTCTTTCTCATTAAATTCCGTTCCTCCTCCTTTTAGTTTCCGTTGAATCAGTACAAAGATTTGCCAACTTTTTATGATCTCTTAGCAGTTTTCTTTTTTATAACGATAGCTTATCCAATTTCAATGATTTGATGAATATAGATTACTAGTTCTGTGAAAACTGAATATTTTTGTTTTGTTTTATTACATTAAATAATTTTCTTAACTTGAAGGGCTGATTTGCCAAAAGCAACATAGTTTACTAACTTGAATTGAAGTGAACAATCAAATATAAACATGCTTAATAGAATTATCTGTAACTAAATAATACAAAATAAGTTTTTTGAGTTAGTTTGCTAAGAGCAACTGTTTTATCACAACAGATAGCGCGTTATCGCTACAACAATGACAATGCTTAGTTTAAGGTTTTATATACACGCCAATAACCAGCGACCGCATTCCAAATTGAAAACTACACTGACGGACTCATGAACTTGGTTTTAACAATAGACAAAAGCTTTATGCAAGTGTTTTTTTATGTTTTAATAAGGTGTATTACCTCCACGTGCCCTTATAATGGATTCTAATCGGTTCCGCATAGATTTGATTAGGGTTATTAAAACATCTTGCGGAATATTGTCCCATTCTTCTGAAAGTGCTGTTCTTAGTTGTGCCACTGTCGTAGGCACAGGATTTCTCGCATATACAGCTCTTTTTAAGTGTCCCAAAGATGCTCAATGGGATTAAGATCCGGGCTGAGTGCTGGCCAATTTATTGTACGTATCCCAACCTCTTCGCAATATTGTCGAACTTGTGCAGCAGCGTGCGGCCGGGCATTATCCTGCATTAAAGTAAAATGTTCGCCTATCCACCTTGTGATCTTCTAAGATCTCTGTTATGTAGCGATGTGCAGTCACACCCCCTCTACTACTGTTTTGACGTACCATGTCTATGAACAAAAGTTCTGTTCGCCCGTTCATCGATATGCCACCCCAGACCATGCACGAACCGCCTCCAAAAGGAACACGCTCTTCAATGCAACTTTGAGCATATCGCTCCCCACGTCGACGATAGACTATTCTGCGACCATCTGCACCATACAAACATGTCCTACACTCGTCTGTGAACAATACGGAGGCCCATTGCTCATCTGTCCCATTTAGGTGATCACGCGCAAATCTTAAGCGAGCTTGTCTGTGAGCTACTGACAACTTTGGACCATTTGCTGGTCTAAAAGGGGTGATATCCGCTTCCTTTAACCTTCTTCTTATTGTTCGTGCACTAACGTTTACTCCACGCACTTCATTAAGCTCTGTTTTGATGTTAACTGACATGAGGAAACGATTTCACAGGGAAGTTGTAACAATAAATCGGTCATCACGACCGGTGGTTGCTCGAGGTCTGCCTGTACCACGTCTCCTTTTGTAAGAACCTGCCTCCACAAACCTTCTGTATATTCTAGAATCGTAGACTGGTTAAAATTTAAATTTCTACCAATCGTTTGTTGATCCAAGCCCTCCCGCACCAATGCTACAATTTGAGCAGCTTGTTCGGACAAAG